TAAGGAAGTATCTAAAGCCATCATGACTAGGAACATGATTTGTCCCTCAAATATCCACAAGTATTAATTGGATAGCTTTTGCAGTAACAGTAAACTAGTAGGAAAAGGTAACCTTTTCTAGTTAGCAAAATGATAGACATCACAAGGCAAAGACCTATATGTTTCTATGAATGTACAAAGTTGTCTTAATAGAGGGAATTTGGAATGTGAAACATGCCCTGGTCTAAAACGCCAGAGGTAAAAAGGTTGAGTGCTAGCAGCTGTAATGTGTTTAGGGCTATTATCTACAGGTGTGTTGTCTATGAGGTAAAGGCCATGGACGAACTTAGCAGAACCAGTCGTCATCCTCAGCTGCATGTCCTGAATCAAACATGCATCAAAGAAGAATATAAACAAAGAGACTTGCTTTTGGTATGTTTACTCACTAACACAAGATTGAAACTGAACTATGGTACAAACAACACCTCCTCAAGCATGAGGTCTGAACTTGTTGTTCAGTTGGGAGAGTGATATAGACATTGTGTATCCTTCTATAGTTGTTTATGTGACTAAGGGAACACACTATGAGTTATGATGCTCCTGTATCTAGGATCCAAGCTTGGTTATATGGCATAGTAGTTTGAGTGTTGAGGGAATATTTGCATGAGCATTCTGGTGTGTTGTTAACAAATGTTGCAGCTGAAAATACTAATCCAGCAGGAGACTTAGGTTTTGTACTCATTAATCTCATCACCTTGTTATAGTCTTCCTTGGTCAGTTTGAACACTCCCTTTGTGTCACTTGCATCAGCAACATGAGTAGTGTTCGCATATTGTTTGCTTCTGTTGATGCATTTTCCAGCTTCATTTGAGATTGAAGGATAGTCATACTTTGAAAAACACTTTTCCTCTGTATGACCAAGTTTCTTGCAGTAGCTGCACTTCGTTAATCTACCCGATGGATTGGACCCTATTGGATTCATTCCTGAAAGCCATCCATGTTTGTGCTACCACACATCTTCTGTGTGGCCTTGAGATCTATAATGTGTGCAGTAGGTTCTGGTTTTCTTGTTTGCAAACTTGGTGATGCCAAAACCACACTTTCAAGTTTCAACAACAAGTGCCTTGCCCTGTTGGGTACCATAATGTTGTATCTCATGCTGGAGCATCCTTTGAAAGACCCTGTCAATGGGTGGCAAAGTATCTCCAAAAAGAACTTGGGATCTCACACTAGTATAGTTGTCATTGATGCTCCTTAAAAACTATATCACATAGTTTGCATCTCTGTAAACAAAGACCTGTTGCATAGCCCTACATGAGTGTGACTAGTTGGTTTACAGGTACATGGATACAAGGGTTGATAGTTGTCTAGTTCATCCTTCAAGACTATTAGGTTACCATAGTATTCTATGACATTTTGATTACCTTGTTTCAATGTAGTCAGTGCTTCAATGAGCTATGCTACCCTGACTATGTCGCCTTGTCCATATCGAGCTCTAAGGCTTCTTCATGCTTCTATTGCCTTCTTGATGGGCATGATGGTCTTTTTGATCCCAGGTTCAACTGCCTGATGGATCCATGAAAGGACCATGATGTTGTTTTTGTTCCAAGCCCAGGTTGATGCATGGTCAACTATTGGTCAGCAAGTGTCCCATCAATGATGCCAAGTTTGTTCTTAGCTCTAAGTGCATTGTGCATTGCTTTGCTCCAATCATTGTAATTGGTGTTGGTGAGCTTCTTTGCTACAAGAAAGGGTTGTTAAAATCCATGGAGATAAAATTAATCCACCACATGATCTGGGTTGGCTATTGCTTCTTCAGCCATAGTTGCTAGTGGCGGTTAGGTTTTCTAGCAACTAGGCTCTAATACCATAACAAAAAAAAATCGTGGTGAAGACTGAAAACCTACTTGTTCTCATTGTTGTCTCAACATATATAGCTGGATCAAAGTAGTAGAAGAAGACAACCTTGCTTTATAAGCACGTATAATCCAGAAAAGGAAAAAGTACTTAAATATAACATTGGGTACTTAAATGTAAATTGTCACCATGCCGTCGTTCTCGAGTCATTTTAGCTGCACCAGAAACGACGTCACTCAAGCTTCATCTTCCTTCCTTCTAATCTGAGCGCAGGAAATTCAAATGTTTTAAATTGTTCCTTGATACGACCATAATGAGTAGGGGAAGGGTCGCTTGAGATTGTCCTCCCTATATAGTTTGGTGAAATGATAAATAAAAGCCTTCTTAAATTCCTCCTTGTCTTCAACAACTCCATTTAATTTGCTGATTCAAACAAAATTCTCGTGTCAGTTAAAATTGACGACTTAGTAAAAGAAAGTTGCATTCTTATCCCATTTCTTAAACCACATTTCTCACAGAAAAAAGTTATTTTTCATCATAAGAACTATGTCAAGAGTCAAGACCATACTAAAAGAGGCATCGATCCATTCTTTATCCTTTTGAAGTCAATCCACACTTTTTTGTTATCGATGGCCTCTGTAAGTTCAACAATTTTCTCATCCGCACACATAAATACTTCTATATTCCAAATTCGCACCTTCCCTTTTGTGACATCAAACCTCTCCCCCAACAAGTCTCCAAAGTCCAAATTCCAATTCTTAATTATGAATGTTTCTTACGTATGATATTTGGTAGGATTCAATCCCTGGCATGAGGATGTTGCCTCACATAAATTTTGTTATAGAAAAATCAATGATTACCCCATCTAACTAATCTTTCTTTTTATCTAAAAAAGTCCACCTCCATCCATTCTCCAACCACATTTCTTGTTATAGAAAAAATCAATTTATCGGCCAACGGAAAAGCCGTCTTTCCGTAACAAGACAAACAACAGAGGCCTCCCATTAACAATCGTTGGCCGTCCTAAAATATATCGACATTAACACTAACCCACACCAAGACTAATTACAATTAACTAATGGAAAACGGCAGAATTAAAAAAATAATAAACTGAATTAATCAAGATTATTATTATAAGTCCAAACCCGTACTGTGTTTACAAAGCCGTCCTCATTATTCCCCTTCCCCTCCCCACCAACTTAGACCACAAAATACATCCTTCCCACTCCGCCTCTCTCTCTCTCTCTCTCTCTCTCTCTCTCTGCCTCCATATGTCCCGCCACCAGTTCTCGCCGCTTTAAAAATTACTCCTTCATCTTCCCTCATCCAAAAACCCGAAACCAAACAAAGAGAAGGAAAAAAACCATGTTGGGGAAGAAGATGGTGTCGTTCAGGAAATTAGCGAGGAAAGTAAAGGTGATCAGCAGCATCAAGGGCGGCGAGTACGATCTGCCGCCGTCGACGTCGCTGCCGCAGTACGAGTGCCTGTTGGGGGAACTGGAATCGGAAATGGCGACGACGCCGACGGGTTACTTCGCGGTGTACGTAGGTGAAGAGAAGGAGAGGTTCGCGGTGCCGACCGGGTTCTTGAGCCACCCTCTGTTCAAGATGCTGATGGAGAAGGCCTACAGCGACCAGCAGTGCCTGGACAGGCTCGTCATTCCGTGTACCGTCGCCACGTTTCAGGAGGTTGTAGCCGCTGTGCAGTGCTGTAACGGCAGGTTTGATCTGGGGAATTTGGTGGAGGAGTTGTTGTAGAGAAAGGGCCAAAAGGGAAAGTAAAGGAAGGGAGGGAGGTAAAAAAAGAACAGAGTAAGAACAGAGTTTGTTTGTTTTTGTAGAAATCAGTGCTTAAATTCGTTGGTTAGTGATGGGTGCGTGGTGTAGAGAAGGGGAAGGGCAGGGGGATAATTCATATTGTTACTTAATTCATAAGGTGTTTGTGATGGATTGTTACATATTCGTAAACTGGGAATTGGTGACAGAAATGAACATGTTCAAAACTGGTTTCTTTGTAAATGTTTCCTTGACGATCTTTCTTTCCCTAGTTTTGATCCGATTTCAGAGTAAGAAAAGGGCAAATGACGGATTAGGATTAAGATCCTGCTTGGAAGTGATGCACATCCAATTTGCAAGGAACTTGGTTTTTGTAATGGTGAAGATCATGTAAGAGAGGTCCTCTGCGAAAATTAGTTCGACGCGAGGATGATAAAAAGGTTAATGCAGGAGGTAAAATGAAAAAAAAAGAGATGGGACTTCCCTTGTTTTTTTGAAAGAGAGATTTTCATATTGTAACCAATCATTCTTAAATAAGATTAAATTTCAATTTCACAAAGCATTCGTAAAATGTACAAAGGGATTAACATTGTTCGAGTGAAGATTTATTTAAATAACTCTTTGCCTTCAATTCCAATCAAAATGAAACAAAAATGTAAAGCTAACCCCATCATAAACCTGTTCATGGTTGTTGTTGACAACTAACACCATAAGCTACTAATTGTTTAATTGTGCAAACTATTTGAGAATGATTGGTTGCAGTATGAATCTAATCCTTAGTACTAATATAGTACAAATTGGAATTTTCCTTAGTTCCCAAGTAATTTTCTTATTATTATCTGTAGTAAATAATACACATCAGTAAGAATAGTCTCACAACTCACAAGACACATGTGAGTACTATAATCGGATTGTCAATTAATATGAATACATAGATCATAACTTTTCGGCACTTTTTACCGTATCTAATACTTCAGTGAGCACCATAATCGGGTTGTCAACTAATATGGATCCATAGTCCATAGCTCTCTGGTGGGTTTTTTTACCGTATCAAATATCAATCATTTGTATCAGATGAGAGAGCAATATCAATCAATCAGTTCCCTAACCCTTCACAAATTCAACGTGTCTTTTTCTTGCCTGCAATCAAGGCGATAGAAAGCAAGCGGTCCAGTCAATTTGGCGCAGCGAAGCTTGACTTCTATTCTGCTGCTTCTTCACCTTCATCCTCACAATCTCGCTTATCTCTAGTTAAGATCGCCACAGCTGTAGGTAAAAGGACCCTAAACCAGTGATCTTCTGATTGTCTGCATCTGCCTACTCACAAGTCAAAGCTCAATCCAAATCCAAACTGACAAACAAAGAGCTTTCTTTTTCTTCTTATTTGTCACATTGTACAGTTGTAGTACGACAAAATAACATTTCAACCCAGACCATGTCTATGAACTGCCTTGTTTACTTAATTAAGGAAGGCTAAATAAAATTTCTGCCGACAACTTCTTCACAAGGAGTCGACGAGGATTCGCTTTATATCATCCACGAACTTGTGCATCTGCTCCCTGGAGTGCAGCGGCGACGGATAGACGCACGCACAATCCAACTCTCCGTTCCTTATGGTGTCGAAAATGGCGAGCGAAGGCCCCACGCTGTGGATCGAAGCGCACCCTACAAAGTCCTCGATGCCGAGCAGGGAATGCAGATCGTTGGTGTCGTCGATCAGCGCATTCTCGAACACCGAGACCAGCGCTGTTCGCTGGGCGGAAGATGGGGTCAGGCCCGGGTTCTCAACGGCCTTGACCATCAGGAAGTTGAGGTCCGACATGTCGCTGAAGTGCTTGTTGTTCTTCTTGGCGTCGGCGTAGGATTTGTAGCACCTCTCGGCCAGCTCCCACAGCTTGTCTTCCATGTTCACGTCGTGTGAATTGGTAATGGCCGAGTGGTAGAACCCTGCAACAAACTCTCACCCCATTACACATTCACATCTTCAGCAACATAGATAGAGTGCAGGGCAAGTGATTTTTTGAGTGAACTGACCGAGGTGGTGGGTGCTGAGGACGGGATCGAGAATGGAGCGACAGTCGAGGAGGGTCGCGATGGAATATTTCTCTCGCTGGAGTTGATCAGGAAGGTCTTTGGTAGAACGTGCTGCGATCATTGCAGCAGCTGCTAATGCTGCGCACAGTTTTATATTCCTTGCGTTGCAGGCCTGCAATTTTTATAAACAGAGGATGGAAATTGCATGAAACTCAAATGAATAATCAGCTGGAGAGTCACTTTCCCTGACCAGCCCAGAGACCCACCCACCATGGCAACCTAACTGCTTGGTTGAACATGATTAGGTTCCTACTGAATACATTAAAGATACAGAATGGTCAAAGTATACCTGAAGTTGGCAACATTCTATCGAGTAGTGACCAACTTATTAGGATAACAAAACGGCTACTTCTCTCCTTGTAATGTACGAGGAAGGCGAGGTCCTCTTATCATGATAATAGGTTCATCATTCGAATTGTTGGAAGAGGTTTCGTATTAAACATTTGACCCACCACCGGTTGACCACTGGACTACTGCGGAAGAAGAGGTATCTTAACTCTTAAGCATGGCAGACACATTGGCTACCGCTAAGCTTAGCTCAACCAGCTAATTCGTTTATGAACTCCTATGGTTACGCTTCTTTTGAAGCAATATGCAATATTAGAGTGAAACCCCAATTCAATAACAGCAATGTGGACCGTCTAAACGAAAATCAATAACAATGTGCGGAGCAGACTTACGGCGACTAGCTTGGCGGTGTGGTCGGAGCTCAGCATCAGCCGGACCAAGCGGGAGCAGCGTGGGGAGCCGGCGGCGTCGACGAATTCCAAATTGGCAGTCCGCAGAGCATTCAGGGAGTAACCAAGCATGTCCTTCCCACGCGCCCAGAACGGCTTGTTTGCTTTCCCGCTAGGGATGCACTCCTCGATACCCAATCCCAATCCCGATCCTGATCCCGATCCAACCTCGATTTCTTTCCCTCCGCCGACCAACTCCAGCAGCTCCGCTAGTAGAGCCACCGCGGACGACCGATCGCACGCACCGGTGTGCAGCCGGAGAGCCAACACCCACCGCGTCTCGCTCAGGGCGTAAGAGCTCACGAAGAAGAGCTCGGCGTCGGCGTTTGGGTCGGTGGCCCAGGGGTTCTTGTTCATCTCGTGCTCGATGACCAGCTGGTGCTTGGAGATGGAGAACTTCTCGATTCCGTCTGCGGCGGCGCTGGTGACAATGTCGGCGGTGGAGGCGAGATCGAACTGCTGGATTTGGAGGTAAGGCGACGGGGAGGCGACGAAAGAGAAGGTGTTGGCGACGGCGTCGAAGTGGAGCTTGGAGCGGAGGATCGGGTGGGAGCTCTGGAGCTTGTGGAGGGCATTTTGGAGAATTCGAATTTCTGGAGGTTTGGAGAGGAGAAGGACTAGGACGGTGATGCCAGTGCCGGCGGGGACGGCTCTGCACCAGCTGTACTCGGTTCCGCCGACCGGTCGGGTCGTGGGTTCCGGCTGGTCGGGGCTGGGATAGGCGCCGCCGTGGTCCAATTGGTTCGACATGTTGGATTCAAGATGGAGAGGTTTGATGCGAGATTCAGGGGGGAGATTGGGAGAGAGAGCAGGGAAGAAGACGAAGAAGAAAGAGGAGACTGTTTATTGTTCAGGAATTGGTAAATCTCATAAATTGAATCTGGAATTTATGCTATCGACAGACAGCTCTTTGGATCGTACGCTTCCAGTTTAATTTACAGTTTTACACTGCCACTGTCTATTGTTCTTACAGAGAAGTAGGATGGCACGATGAATCAAGAAAGCCAATTATGTAGAGACTGCAAAACGTTTTGTTCTGTATTGGCAACAAGGACAAAGAAGAAAGAAAAGTCCAGGACGTATCGTTGAGTAGGTGGGTACTCTTCCTTGAGTAGGAATGATAATGGAAGGAACTTTCGAGTCTGGACAAATTGTTGATGGGGGAAGTACAGAGAAAGGGTAGCTGAAATTTTCGGTGGGAATTGTCACCACATGGACCACGACCACGAGGATATTCTTACCGTTGGAGCAATGGCTTTCTAGCAACGTTCTCGTAACCGAACTCGAGCATGACCCGATAATGTGAACGACTCGTACTTTAGTAATTTAATCGGTATTAAACCGTTAGAGAACCGTTACCTTATAAACAATAGGGTAAGTAGAATATATTAGCCACAACTATTATGAAGCGGGGAATTATAGCCACAACTATGAAAATTCAAATTATTAGCCATAACTATTTTTGCGGGTCAAGATATGGCTAACTGTCCGTTACTGTTATTGAATTTTTAACGGAGAAGGGCACGTCATCAGCCACGGCAGCAGCCACGTCGGACTGCTTTTAATTTATAACTTTAAAATATAAAAGTTTAGTCAGTATTACTAACGAAATTGTTAACAGATAGTTAACGTTTGACTAATAATTTGAATTTCCGTAGTTATGGCTATAATTCCCGCTTCATAATAGTTGTGGCTAATATATTGTATTTACCCTAAATAATAATATTATAAATAAAAAATACATAAGATAGTAATTTAACATTTTGGTGAATACAATAAAATTTACTTTGTAGATACCATTTAGTAATATTACATTTATGGAGACGACTGGTATGCTCCAGATGATCTGACCGTTAGATTTACATGGATTAGCTCCGGCCAATCTCAACGGTCAACTCTTCTTTTATCTTAAATTGAACTTTGGGCTTTGAGATTAGAAAATCGGGGCCTGGGGTTTATCCATTTGAGGTTAGGGTATAGTATCATACCCCAAACTCGGTTTAATTCATGATTTAGATAGAGATATCTCACTATGAGTACATGGAGTATAGTATGCTCCAGGAGCACACGAGTCTCACCCTTACATTTATATATATACTCATTCACAAAAGCCTACTAAATAGTCACCCTTCCCATTCTTTTTTCTTCTCTCTTCTTCTTTCTTCTTATGCATCGCTTCTTTTTCTCTTCTTTCTTCCTCTTCTTCTTTCTTCTTCAGTTCTTCCGTTCAAGTTTCTTCTGCCGCAATGGAGGACTGGAAGGCATCGGTAGTCAGGAGCGCCGGCTATGGGGGCGCCTTTTCCCCTTTCCTTTCATTTACCAATTTTTTTTTACATAAACCCAACCAGCCGAAATGGGAAAGTCGGGTGTTCAGCTCGAGCGGCCCAAGCGGTTAACTGCCTCGATCGCTTGTCGACCGCCCTTAAGACCCGTTCCGGCTAAATAGCTGTATCGAGCCGGTTTAGTGGTCGGAACTCGGATGGCAGTTTTATCGGTCTGACCGGCCGATTCGACTCGAATTTGATAACACTGCTTCGTAGTATTCCATATTACAATGGGAAGAGAGTAAATAGGGGTGGCAATCAGTTTTCCGATTAACAATATAATCAATGATAATGGTAAATTGATGTGAAAACACAGTTGGTATATCGAATGATTCCCGACAAATCACCGATGGCTAGTCGTATATACCGAATATCGAGACTTAAATCCCTAATTTAATTTTTCCTTCCCCCTGCCTTACCCTCCCGAGTCCCGACCCCAAATCCCTCAGATTTACGTCTTCTTTCTCTTTTGTAGAAGTCAAAGAAGAATCATTAGAGAGGCGCTAGAGAGAGGCACCTGATATGAACTCGAAATTAAGGAGACAAGAACAACCGATTTATGTGGTTTCCCTGAGATTCAGGACTAGTACACGGGAGAGATAGAACTCTTTAGAGTCAATCTTATTCGGCTTAGGTATTCTGTACAACAGAGGTACAATATATATACGTTATGACTAGGTTATATTGCAACCCTAGTTCATCTATCTAGGTAACTCATGTAATAATATAATGTTACAAAAAGGTACCTAGATAAGGCTAAGTCACCAATCAACACCCTCCCTCAAACTGATGGTGCTTTCGCAGCATCAGTTTGTTAGATAAATACAAGTGAAGCCTTGAGCCCACTGCCTTTGTCGACAAGTCTGCAGTATGATCGTCTGTTGACAAATAACTTAGCTGAATGACTCCATCGAGCACCAGCTCTCTAATGTAGTGAACATGAGTCTCGATATGCTTGGTCCGATCATGCAATACCTGATTAGTGGCTATCCAGATTGAGCTTGCATTGTCCCCGTAGAGCTTCATAGGCATCTCACACGTTACGCCGAGATCAGCTAGCAGTCGTTGTAACCAATGCAGTCAAAAACACGATTCTATTTAAAAACGGTGAACAGGTAAAATCGTAAAGCGTAGAATCGAAATGCAGAAACGTAAGTTTTTGATGCATTATATAAAAAACCTAAAAAAAATTCAAATATGACATATAATATATAAAAGGAGGTGAAAAATCATTAGTGTATAAATTTTACATGTCGTACTTGTGCTTACATGATTCTCCACCGAGACCAACAAACCTGTTTAGAAATATCCTAGTATACAGAGGTATATTCTTAACAAACTGAAGCTTTGTGATGATAATGTAGCTAAATCAAGTTCAGAAGTCAGAACAAATCCATTTCTAGCTTCTTTCTGTTATCTTCAACTTTCTCTGGTGAAGTTCCATAAGGAATTCAAACAATCAGTGTTAAACCTCCAATAACCCTCAATCAAAATCAAAATCAGATTAGAGTAGCAGAGAGAAGTAACAACCAAATTAAAAGGCTTACTTTCTCTAAAACCATCCTTTCGGCTTAAATTTCCTTTCGGATTTGATTCAGCTTCTACATAAGTTCATATCCACCGAGAATGGACTTCGACGGTCATGAAAGAGATGCTTGCAGGTTGCAGTTGCGGCAGCCGGTGGCGGTGTTGTTTGAAGTTGCGGTGGAGACAGAGGAGGGTCGGAGGTGCTGTGGGGTCGGAGACAGGAGGCCTTGTCGGGGACTTCTGTTATGGTGGTTGTGTCGGTGAAGATTGAAGGAGCCAAGAAGGGTGAGGGAGCGCCTGTTGATTCTGAGCTGGTGTGCTCGAGAAATGAGAATCCGATTTAGGGTTCTTTCTCTCGATAGTAGAGAGACTGGGGGAGGCGACCGGCTGCCCCTGTTTTTTCCTTCTTCACGCGTCATTCAATAAAATGGCGTCGCGTTATGATTAATTTTGATTTTCAATGATGTGCACAGAATCGTTCAATAGCGTTGATGAAATGCGTTTTTACCGATTTTTTGCGTTTTTAACGATTTTACTCACGTTTTTAACGTTTTTGTGTACAAAACGAATTTAGGTAGAAACTGAAGCGTTTTTTTGGTCTAGATAGGTAGAAACGTACGATTTTACGCTTTAAAGCGCGATTTTGACTGCATTGGTTGTAACCATACCAATTCTAAGCTCACCTTAGACATCAACCTGTATTCTGCTTCTGTCAATGACTTCTACACTCGGTCCTATTTCTTAAAGCGCCAAGATACAAAAGAGCTCCCAAACCGGACACACCAGCAAGAGGTAGATCGTCGTGTATCCACACAACCTGCAAAATCAGCATCAACAAAGGCACTAGGTACTTGTGCACTTTGATGCGGAAAGAAAAGACCTACATCCTGCATGCCCTGTAGTCTGTAGATATCGAAGAATCCAGTGAACCGCATTCATATGCATGTAGCGGGCAATCCCTATGTACTGACTCACTACTTGTACTGCGTATACTATATCCGGATGGGTGGAACTCAAGTACCAAAGACTACCAACTATTGTGCAGTAGTTGGTTTGATTATCTAATAAGTCGCCACTAGACCGACTGAGCCTAAGATTTTGTTCCATCAGAGTCGCACATTCTTTGCAATTATCATACTGGTGCTCAGCCATTAAGTCTCGAACATACTTATGTTGGCCCACGAAAATCCCATGCGGCATCCTCTCGATCTCTAGCCCGAGGAAGTACGAAACATCATCCAACTCCTTGAGCTTCAATGCACTATGCAATGTCGCAGTCAAATACTTGATCCCCTCGTGATCACTCCCATATATAATCATGTCATCAACATATAGTAATAAGAAAGAGTTACTGTGTATCGTAGTTCGCAGGAATAGAGATGGATCATTCTTACTTTGCGTAAAATCAACCTAGATAATTGTACCGTGAAACTTCTCAAACAAAGCTCGTGGAGCTTGTTTAAGGCCATAAAGTGAGCGCTTGAGACGAAAAACCATATTCGGGCCGCCCTTGGAGTATTCAGGAGGACAAGCCATGTAAATAGTCTCTTTGAGGTCGCCATGGAGAAAGACATTCTTGACATCTAACTGCACAAGATGCAAGTCTCTCATAGCTGCAACTGCTAGAACACATATGGATATCTGCATTTTCGCCACAGAAGCGAACATCTCGTCGTAGTCAATTCGATATGTGATATTTGTCGAAAACATATTGATTTTGTGTGCTAAATGTGATTAATTATTACATGATATGTTTGAGAAATATAATGCTTGTTTTTGGGGTCCAACTAAGCCTGGAATGGTTATATAACCATTACCATCGAGTGCCAAATATTTTATATGTTTCAGGTAAATGAAATGAGAAATTGGCATTGCTTGATGGAATAACTCAAGTGGACCGGATGAGGTTCTTCTTCAATTAATTGAATCGGCCATTTTCTTGGGCCGGGAGCTGGGGCCTGGAAGACCGAAAGGGGAAGGGGAGATTCTCCCTGGGCAAATTAATAATTGGTCACAAGCCCATTCTTTTTCTTCCCACGGAAGGAGAGGGGGAAGCTTACTGGGGGAATTAATTGGACATGCATACTTGGTAACTTGGACCGGGGAGAGGGCTGGGGGCGGATTTCAATTGGAGACGGAGCAGCTTGTTGGCGACTGGGTAGT